CCAGACTGAGTGGGCCTGGGTGCTCAGGTTGGAGAATCTCCAAACACAAGCCAACTTTGGAGAAAGCGGGCGAGTTTGGAGAAGGCGCGAGTTTGGAGAACCCCCAAACCTGACAAACTTTGGAGAAAACATGCCTGAGTTTGAAAATATCCAAGCTCAGGCCCGCTTCCCCCAACTCGACAAATGCAAAAAGTCGTTCGGCAAGTGGTTCCGTCCGCCACGTTCGCGCCAGCGTACAATTGAGTACATGGCTTCAAACAGGAGAGAAAGAGGGAAGAGATTCAAAAACCTTAGGGGGCAGGTGTCCCACTTCAGCCAACAGGTTTTGGCCAAGCGGAACAGCTATGGGGAGTTAAGACACCTACGACTGCATCACACTTTAGGCCATACTGATGCAACTTCCTATTTAGCTGCCTCTGTTCTGCTAACCAGCTACGCTTTCGACGTGATCTGAGCACTGGGTTTGTTTGGATCCAAGGGCCATTTTGATTGGGCCCGTGCCGTTCGGTTCTCAAAACTCATTGATTGAGCCTTTCCTATGCCAGCAACAAGTGTTGTTCATGGACCATGCTTTTTGAAACCCACTAGCTGGGTGAATTATGTAAATGTGATGCTTTGCGAACCGCTTTTTAGGGATCCCCGTTATGAGCCACCGAACCTTCACAGGTGTACAAGACTTGTTGAGTACGGCAAGCGGTGCACGAGACATCGCGCATGGTGCACGCAAGCAAAGTGCAAAAAAAACCCGACCAGCCGGTGATGCCTGCTTTTTGGCAAGTCGTCAAATCTTCATGCCTCCAAGCTTTCGCACCAATCTGGCCGCAGCCCGCGAGCAGGGTTGGGCTGCCCCATATGTTAAGGCATCGGCTGCTCAAACAGACTCCTCTTGGTTTCTTGTGAGGTGTCGAACCGGGTTGAGTAAAAGTCAAATGTGCAACCGATGCAACCTTTTGCACATATGGTTCACTTCAGTTGCCCTTCAGCCCCGCAGCTCTCAAAGCGTGCCACTTTCTGAAGCAGAAGCAGCACCAGGTGACCATCCTACTTGCCCAGTGGCCTGGAAACAAGAACTGCTTTGTTTGTCGGGGTCGCAGTGTAAGTGTCGGCATTTCTGCTTTTCGCCGTGTTGTGACTGGGCATGCTACCGTTTGTTCCAATAAAAAATACATGTTCTGCGCGTGTCGAGCGCCTATCCAACATGCTTCTGAAAACGTGCGAAGCGTTTGCTTAGCTGGTGCCTGGCATGGGTCTACGTTGCCTATCAGAAATGCATCATGCATCTGTGACATGCCATTCCCAGCATCGTCTAGTGGACACCTGGACATGAGTGCAACATCGGGTTCCACCTCTTCTGGCCGGAAGGGTAAGAGGGACAGGCCATCGTTTGTGCTTTTCTGAGCGTGCCGACCACCATGCTCTCTCAGTCTTGGAACTCGTTCGACTTCCATAGACGGGAGTTAGTTGAGTTTGTCTTCACTAGGATTGCCAAGCATGGTTTTCCTGAGCACGCCTACCTTCAGTAGAAATGTGTCTAAAGGCATGTTGTTTGTGCACACCCGGCATGTTGCTAATTGATGTGAAAAATACGTGTAGTGCAAACCAGGTTGCCTCCTGGCATATGTCGGGCGTACTTCTGAGACGTGTGATTATATACATATACACTTGCAAACAATGTTAATTCTACTAACTTCAAGCCAACTTCATTTCATGAAGTTAGCTTTATCACATGCGTAACTGCCAAACGCGTGTCCTGCAAATGTGTAGCGTGCCTATAATCCATGTGTGTTGCTCATACTTGTGAGCATATGTCCAGAAGTAGTAGCATGTGTCTACAGACTTTGCCTCGATGCTTCGAAATTTACCTGAAAGTTGTCTGCAGACATCTGCTTCATGTTCAGCTGTTTGTCCATCCAGTACATTCCTAGCAGGTTTTGGGTATGTCCCGATCCTGCATGAGATAGGTCTAGTATGTCCGAATGCACCTAACATATGATCACCTAGCCCCATGACATGTCTAGCTATCTACTGTGTGTCCAGCACATGTCGATCTTAATCTTACTGCCCGCTGTGTCTGGGGTTATGTTTTGCATTCTCACGGCACACGCGTTGCATCAAATGCACAGGTACTCCCCCCAGGGAGTGTTTGATTTCCCCGGTTTTCCCACTGGCCGTGAGGAACAATAGACTTAAGTCGGTGTTTTCGCTTGTTCTCCACAACTGCGATGCTGTACTTACCGGATGGACTGGTTGCTGTGACAAGGTAGTGGCATGCCGGGCTATAGCATTCAGTTGCTCTCTCGCTTGCCTATCACAGAAATGTCCAACCAACGCCACTGGGCAATGTCTGATGCATCGGAAGAAAAGCTGACGTGGATTCTACCAGCGAGAGGTTTCAGGCCCCGGGCTCTTCAATCGCAAACACCTTGGGATCAAATCACAACAAACACCAGGTGCATCAAGTCTCCAGAACCTTTTGGGCAAAGCGAAACCATCCGAAGGTAGCGCACGTCGGAGGCATGGTGCACTCTGTGCGCCCAAGCCCAGGTTCAGTGGTCAGCGAATTCTCGACGCCCGCTCCACAGCGCGACGGCCGCGATTCATTTGCACCTCCGGGCACCGCCAATCACAGGCGGTGCCGGGACAAATGGTCTTGGAAGGAATCTCCCAACCCGAAAACAACTACCCGACAACTTCTCCGGGTAGGTTGTTGTCTGCTTTCTACTTATAACTCGAAAGGAATCTCCCAAGCCTTGAGCTCGCTTGTTTTAACTCTCCGAATGACTCGCGGCGTGGTTTAGTAAACCGCCCTTCTGAGTTCGAAGGAGACCAATTTGCCCACATGGATGGACATCCAACGCTGACTCAAAGCATCCCGGATCTTGTGGATCAGATGGGACGGCTACGAGTGCTCAAAGGCATCGCGGAGGATGCATCCAATTGACAAGCAAGGAGCTCGCAAGCACGGCTGCATGCACATCCAACAGCATGCTGTTGCCTTGCGCATAAGTTGTACAAACGCAAGGGTGCATGTGTGTGTGTGATCTCCCAAGAACAGAAAACACTGAGCTATTGCAAAGTAAGCCGCCTTCAAAGAAACCTTCCCAAGGATTGACTCCGCCAAAGCGGCATATCGCGGCATATCGGACTAAGTCTGACAGGTCTCTCCAAGAATCGCCCGGAGGTTCAAATCGTTGCAGCACCTGCACCTCTTTAGGGGAGAGCATGGAAAGCATCATAAACCCAAGCCAAGCTCCACATGGTTGGAGCCTTTCTAGGGGCTCAGCCTTTGGCTGAGCTAGGCCGCGAGTGAAAAAGGCCAAGGCCCGTAGCTTCGATTTAAGGCTCGGGTGCTGTTTAGGGCAGGTGCGAAGTTTCAGGGTCTTAGCTTGCCGGGGTGCAAAGCGTCCACTCAACAGAAAGAAACGGGACACATCTGACATCACTTTGGCCAAACCAAACAGAAGTAGGCAATCACTTGGAGGGTACTACTCGTTTTGACACACTGCGACACACCGTGCGAAAGATCACGTGCTTGCTCTGAATCAAGGCGGAGAAGCGCGTTCGCATACATGAATCAAACCGGACAGTTAAGAGCCTGTCACTTTAGGATCCGCCCGCCCGCGGAAAAAACAAGACCTTTGGCAAGCCCAAAAGGCCCAAAGGGTCCCTCACCCTTTGTGTTCAAAGGTAGCTTCTCAGCAGCTGCCTTCCTGGAAAAAGGCCCTTTGGAAAACCGTCGCGGCCCGAGGAGACAGCTCAGCCGGAAAGCCCCCACTCCTCTCCGAGGATCCGGAGACTTCCGATGGGTCAGAGTCCGAACTTGTCGCTCAACACCAAATTGGTCTTCCCAAGAATGACTCAAGTTCAGAACTTCCTCGTGGACGCGAAACTACCGACACACCGGCATTTCAGGCGGCTTGCGCCAGGCAGCCGCGCATAAAGAAGGACGAGCGAAAGATCTTAGGCATACAGGTTTTCGTATGGTTTTAAAGGGCACCAGGGAAACTCGCCATTTTGTGGCTCCACGAAGAAAAGACGCGCCCCTTTTGGTGGCCTTGAGAGGTCGCTGGACTGCCTCAGCCCCCACGACAAGAGCAGGGCAAACCGGCGTTACTCAATTTCCTTCAAAGAACCCCAAGTGGCAGTAAACCCCAACTGCAACTTTTTGGGCTAACCGAAAATTGCCGCAATGGGCCTTGTCTTTTGACGAGGGCGCCAAAAGAATCTGAGGGGGAAGGCAGTCTGACATTCATCAACACAGCTGTTCGCCCTGTGCTTCGTAGATTTAGGTAAGCCATGAGCGGGGAAATGGCGACGCTCATGGTCAGATCTCCCTCGGAAAAACCAAGGGTCAAACTGCCCGTCCGATAAACATGTTTACGCTTCAACACGTGTTTGCGACGCGTGATGAATGAGCCCCATTGGCAAAGCAAGTGAGGGTAACATGGCTAGCAGTCTTCTGTTCTGCGTCTAAAACCCGGATGCCATGCAGTCTTGGTCTGAATGTAAGCTTTGATGCTTCATGAGGGCACGTCACGCTCGGCATGTGTACCAAGTCTCTCTCATGATTCTTGTGTTGCAACGCAAATTGATCTCTCCTTCCTTATGGAAGCTGGCGTGCTTGGCATGAATTCATCTCTATGGTTCGCCAAACCGCGAGCCTCGTGGCTCATGCATCGTGGTGCCTGTGCAGCGCACCTCTTCAGTGGCACAGATGTAAGAAAACATGCTGGCCAATGCCATAGGCCCATTCAATACTAGGCCGGCTCGAACAAAAAGAAAAAGGTAGGTGCACAACCAACGGAGTCGGCGCAAGCTAGGACACCTTCTTAGAAGATACGTTGCTTCTTAGGTCTCCTAAATCCATAATTACAACTCCGTGCAACTTGTAATCCGCATACTCTGATCCGTAAACCACGCAATCCGCAAGCCACAAATCGTCGGGGATTAGGTTTTGAACACACTAGAGTGGCAAACCTCTTCTGACTCAAGGCCAAGGCCCCTTCTAAGAAAGGCCCAGCCGTTCCGAGAAGGCTATGCAAAGCGTCCTGAGTGGGGTCGAGCCACTGCCAGAAAACTGGAATTGTTGCCGCGCCCCTTTGGTTTTGCCACGAGAATGAAACTCGTTGACGGCAGGCCCACAGCAAGCGTGATCTTGACACAATAAGCACCTCACGGTTGCCAATATTGGCTGGCCGTGGCTTTGGATGATAAGTTAGCAGTTCTGTTGACGAATCACCACCCTTTGCGACTTACCTCGCCAAAACGTAGCTGGACCCACAACCAATGATTCAAATCGAATGAACCATTCGTGGACTGTGCTTGCGCGCGCCGCAGGTCGGCATGCTACATGGCCAATGGGTCAATGCCAACCACTTTGAAACGGCATGATATGATCGACGTGGAACACTAAGGTGCCGCCATGCTGGCATGCCCACCTCTTGCACAGCTCTGCTCCCGCACTCCTGTCAGCAAGGCACCCAAGCTCAGCAGTTCAAGATGGCTACCCGAGATTCTTCTGCGAAACTCGCTTGCTTTCTGCTTCCCTGCAACAAGTTTACCTTTTAGTGGTTCAATTGGAAAACCCATTAGTTGGCAAAAAGCTAAAGTCCTAACATCCAAGCAACATGCACCAAAGGAAAGTCTGCGGGGTTCTAGGTTGAGCTGCAGGTGAGTACTTCTCAACTTGAAACTCGACGGCAACACTTCTGCCAGGATCAAACACAGAATTCCAAGCCCGATCAGGATACCGACGAATACCTCCAACACCTGACCATCACCTTCCTCAATGCCGAAACAGGAAATACGTGGAATTACTACATTTGTTCAGCTGTTCATGGCACAGGGGAATCGGGTGCACCTGTCAGACGCCTCTCAGTGGGGTTCTACAGTACACTTTGATAACATTACCTCCGCCGTTCCCCATAGCGTTTGTGCATGCTTTTCCCGCTTCGCACTAAGAAAATACACCTGCAAGCCAGCATGATTTGATCAATCGTCTGGGCGGAGGGGAGCCGAACAAACTCCGGAATGTTCGATGGAATGTGCACGGCGTGCGACGCGATACGCAAAGAACGTCTCTGCAAGTTGATTTCGGTGGGCCCTTGCGAGGCTCTTGCTTCGACCTCCCGTCCTCACAGGCAAACCATCTGCCGCTTGCATTCGTGGTTTGCCGCTGGCGCCGGCCGGCCTAAGAAGCACCCCGCGCTCCTGACAAACGCATTGACATGGGGTCCCTGGACATGTCGAGCGACGAGGTGGGGCTGCCATGCCTCGGGTACAACTTTGAAGCACCGCACCCTAAGGTTTTTGAACAATCAGCCTCTGCCAAACGGAAGCTGGTGTCACAAACGCAGCAAGAATTATCACAAACGCCAAGCTCGGACAGCCACAAGCAACACAATTGGCGCCAAAACAACTCACAAAATGTCTGTTTGCTCATTGGTCGGCATGACGCAGCTCGCAGATTTTGGCAGCCCACAGCTCCAAGCATCGGTCAGTCCAATTGGCCAGTCCTGTGAATGGAGTTCATTGCCTGAGCAAAGTCCTCATCGACGTCGTCCACTTCTTCCTCTTGCTGCTGCCTAAGCTCGACAAAGGCCCTCTCAAGGTCACGTTGCAGTAAAGAAACACTTGGAAGGCATGGATCGTCGCTTTCAAGACAGCCCGCCCCACCCCACCCCACAGCATTCCGCCCTGCCCCGCCGCCCCACCCAATGTGCACTTGGAGAAGGGGGGGGGCTGAGAATATATATACATATATATATATATATATATATATGTTGACCCCTTGCAATGCCATCTTTTTTGGCGGTTTCCCCCATGGTCATGCCATGTTTTACGGACCTTTTGAATCAACTCCAGAAAGGGATCGGTTAGAGAATCTGATTCCATGATGCCGGTTGATGGGTCCCGAGTCAAGGCCCATGGATCTCTCTATAGCCAATTCCACTTGAGGGGGGTCTTTTCAATCAAATCGGAGAGCCCCCCCCAGAAGACAAAGAAAAAGAAAAGGTGTCCCTTGTGCTTCCCCCTCAACAACCGACCCACCTAGGTGTCCCTAAAAGCGCCAAAAACCAACAATCCGGTTGACATTACCCGTGGCCACCCAGATCCACCAAGCATCTGCCGGGCGCGCTCGGCAGCGACCATGCGCTGGAACGCCTTTGGCTCCTGAAAAAAGGCGGCATGTGAAAGTTTCTGTCTTGAGGGTACCCTTTGTTGACACTGGTTTCAAAGGAACACCAAAGGGGAAACCAATTTTTTGGGGGTCCCCCTTTGACACAAACCCATATTATGGGCTCTGCCTGGCCTCCTTTCTTGGGAAGATCTCGAACATGAGTCCGTACCCCTCTAGTTTCATCAGGAACAAAGGCTTAATTACAATAAGGAGAAAAAAGGGATCACGACGCGGCTCCCGGCTGTGCCTGCTCCCCTTTTGAACATCGCGCCACTATGAGCTTTACAGGTGACGCAAAAGCCAGCAAAAGCCACCAAGACGAAAAATCGGACTACCGAATTAAAGAGCCGGAGAACCCCACATGTCTAGCCTTAGAAAACACAGGTCAAAACTAGGCTGGAATTCGGTCCCCAGCAAAGAAATATCTGGTTTGCCTGGTTAGTGGAAAACAAAGGGACCCCAAAAAAGCAAAAAAAAGAAAAAGGGGGAGCTAATTCTGGGGAAGAAAAAACAAATCAAAAGGGGAAAGCAAAAACCACATGAGCGCCTTCGCCAGGACGAGGCCGAACTCGCACAGGCGCTTTTCGTGCATCTGCGCCGGGTCTTGGGGCCTGCCTGCCCGACTGCGAATTCAACTTGGACCTCGCGTGAGCTGGGAAAATGCCCCCCCCGCCCCCCAATAATGTAGCGCACGTAGATGGCTCGATTCCCTTTATGTGTGTAGTAGTTTGGTTCAGACTTGAGTTTGTTCGTTCTGAAGAACTATAGGCCATAGAGCCGACTTGAATATCATTTAGAACCTGCCAGGAAATTCCTTCACTCAGTTGGGTCCCCTAAGAAAGCCATGGATGTACGCGCACAATCACGCATTATTATACCAATATCAGTGTGAGGGGTGTGGCGGTGCCCCCCTTTAGGGAAACAAAAGGGGCCGTCGTGCTGCGGTTTTGCGGGCAACTCCGAAACAACAAAAGCAGAAAAAACAACAATAACACACACACACACAACAAAATGCAACAAAAACCAGATGGCAAACGCCAAGGGGGCAGGTCCAAGACGTAAGGTCTGCAGTCTTGTTTTGTTTGCCCAGAATGCAGAAAACTCCGGGTAAACCAACAAAACTGGAATCTTGCGGTTTTGTTTGCGTTTCTTTGTTGTCTTGGGTTTTCCCCATTTTGATTTTGGCCCGAATTGCAAAGGTGATTCAATAACCGCCTTTCTTCATCCTTTCACCTCCCGTCTGCTCAAGAGTTCGGATGTGAGGTAAAGGAAAGTGGTGGATGAATCATTCCACGTGTCAATTGCCTTATTCCTTAAACAGTAGGTTTAACAGATCCGCAATGAAGCAGTCCGTCACGGAGGGATCTGCGTCAACCACATGCCTGCATCACCACCCTGGCCCAAATGGTCATAACAAAACAAGAGGAGATGACACGTCGCATGTGAGAACAGGCTTGGAGGTGGACAACACATGCTGTCCCTTCCTCACTCATGCTAAGTATCGTCCGGGGGTTCTGTTTCCTCCTGTTGGTTGTTGCCGATGTGATTGTTGTTCAACATCTTGCAACTCCTACCTTCTTATCCTTCTTAACCAATTTGTCACGTTGAAGGACAAGATAGAAAGCCTTCTCACATGACATACGAACTAGCCACCAAAAAGGGATTGCTACTTCATGCTTATTGCTCTTTCTGTTCGTCTCGCCTCTGTTTAATAGGCAAGGGAATGCGTGGACTGAAGAAATATTCGCTACTGCTCTGCCTGTTGCTTGAGGCTTCTACAAGCTGCAGGCTCACAAGTCTCAAAAACACAGGAAGAACACAGTTACATTTGCGACGCGAGCTACGTAGCTACGGGGCAGCTCATGCTTCATGCATGAGGCCGTGTCTTTGAGTCGCGTTGATACATAGCTTTGGATACACAAGCCTTAGGGCAAGCGGTCGCGGGATGGCATTGAGCAAAGGAGTCGTGTTCAGCGGCAAGGTGGTATGCCGGCATCTAAACTCTGTTATTCTTCCGTTCGCTTAAGCCCCTTGGTAAACATACTGATATGTCCAGTAGTGATAGATACCCTTAAACACCAACAAGAGAGAATAAACATATTCCGAGGCAACTGGAAATACTTGATGTACAACTGTACTGGGCCTGAGGCCCAAGAAGCCATCGCCGGAGGGGTACAATGAAACATACGGATGCGCACCTCCCGGCCCAAGCAAAGTGCAAGACGGGTATACTCACTGGCTGAGTGGATGGCCCAAAAAAAGTCCAAACTTTATATTTACCACTAAAATGGTCTTCCCCAAAAGTTTAAAGCTCATGAACTCAGGCTAATGGAGATACGCTATACCATCTCACATTTACATGCCGGGCCTGACCACGTAAATACACGCGAAACGGAGAGGCGAAACACATCGCACATGCAGCCGTCATTCAGCATTTCCTTTCAAGTTTCAAAACCACCGAGGTTCAGCAGTAGGATATTGCACAAACTGCGCACAATCAGTTCACAAGCTCCTCATAGCTACCTCCTCATAGATACCCCCTCCCCTGCCTGCCACACACCACAGCGCGGATAAAGCCAAAGCACTGGACAATACCATCCAAGCTCCATTGAGGGTTTGCCGCTTCACCCTCGTTTTGGCAAGCCAAGGGTATGTCTTCAGAGGCATCCTGTTATAAAATCGCTTATGTTAAAGCTGAGGCCTTCAAATATCACAGCTCCGGCACCCGACGGCCCGCCTTCTCTCGCTTCCCTGGCGCTCTTAACCGAGCTCCAGGACTTCTTGCTGACGCTCCGAGAGATAAAAGAGAAGCTGGGGGAGAGTGTCGTCACGCTGGTCGATGGGGTAGGATTTGTCTTCGACATCCTCGTCGTCTATGGCAGCGGCTTTGCCACGTCTTGGGCCAAACAAATCTTCAAGTCACGCAGAAAGAATTGGATCTTCTATTTCTTCGGAACATTGTAAATGAGAGACCGATAAAAGGGGGACAAAGGGGGAACGCCACTGAAGAACTGCTGAGCAACGCCGGAAAGAGCCCATGGATCTTGTGTCGGGTGCCTGGCCTGTGGACTTTGAGTCGGAAAAATTAGGAAGGGGTCTTTTGAAGAACGACTTTATGCCAGACAAATATTGCTTGAAGAGACTCCCAATAAACATTCACAGGCTTGTATCTCCTCTCCCATCCCAAGGACATCTTCACCACCTGAATTACCAATGAAGACGTGGAGCGAGCCTGCGAACTCCGGCCAACTGAAGGCCAAGAGGCGTTTTCTTCAAGGGGCCAGACAACGGCTTGAAATGCTAAACGGATGCGTTCCTCGGGGCCTTTTGGAGATGCAACGTGCTAGCCATTGCTTCCCTGCGGGGAAATTTGGGAGCTGGGAAATCCTGGTCGCACAGCTGGGCCTTCTTGAGCTCGCCCCGCAGCGCGCGGTTGCCTTCCTATGGGACGAGACATTTGGTGGGGACGTCCGGGCGTTTGGTGGGCCTCGCCTCGCTGCACACACGCGCGCGGTGCGCCTAAGCCTCCGCGACTGCAAGTTACCTACTTACTTCTTGGCTTTATCTGCTTACTGATGTAAATTGCTTTACATGTATCTTTGACTTTATTTCTAACTACTTACTTGCTCACTTACTTAGAACCTTGCTGATTTGTATGCTTACTTGCTTACTTGCTGATTGACGGGCAAAGGAATAACCTCCGACCCCCTTCCCCACCACAAAAACAATGACACATGTGATTATCTTTTAGGCTTTCCTTTAAACCAACCTGGAAAGGGTGGCCTCACAAACATCACACATCACACACACACATGTTCCTTGGAGTAGGGATACTGCAGCTGTTCAGCAAGCCCATGCACCCGACTCAGCCATGTCTAGCTATGGCCAGGGCATGCACATGATTCAACTGGCACTTCTGGCTTGCCTTGGTTGACGTTGGAAAAAATGAATTTTAGCAGTCAAGTGGGGATGTCAACCACTAAACCACAATAAGCAAAACAATTAAAACGTTTCCCAACAACAACCATGTTGCCAAGGGATGCAAACAAGGGTGACTCTTGAGGATGTAAAGGCCGGCAATCACACCGAGAGGTTTGTTGTCCACCTCCGTGATCCTTGGATTTATGCACACGATGAGTCAACAAAACAGAGCCAAGGTTCTGCAACAAGATCCTTGGGGCGGGAGCTCATTGTACCCTTAACTCACCTTCAGCAGCTATCTTTGTGGACGCGTGTAATACCTCCCCCTGGCATCATCCGCAAAGCTTCATGTGTGCTGGTTTGCTTAAACATGCGTCAGCTTCCAAAATGCATCTTGGTTTGTCAACGTGGGGTTGAGCATCGCGGAGTCCAACAAAGGAGGACCGAGCCCTCCATGCTTGATTTGGGTTCGTGCCCAACTGGCCGCAAGCCAAAATCATGTCAGCTTGGGGCAAAAAGCAGAAGGAGTCTCACCCATCCGAAGGCCTTGATATTGACGATGTGCTGGATCTTCTGCCTGCGTGTCGCCAAAGGACTAAGGCGCCAGACGACTTGGGGAGCTAGCATTTTGTTCGGCAGTTTCAGTGACTCTCATGAAATCTCAGAACTCATGCCACTTGCCAGTTCTTCCTTTGGTCAGGAGGCGTGAGCACGTTCGAGATTATAACGCATGGTTGTGGGAAACAACCTTCTCTGTGACACTACAGTAGTTGATTCCCAAGACTACTCTATCACTCTGAAGGGGATGGGAAACCATGTTTTATCATTTCGGGCCCCTGGTCCGAGCGCGAGGTGTGAGCGAAGGGGCGGTAACCAGCCTTTGCAACCAGACACGTGGCTCCAGTCAAGTTAACCGACCGTGCGAGAATCATTGCACCCCCTGTGTAAGAAAACGGAAGTGACCAACATGCACAACTCCTCTTTTTGGCGGTCAGCAAAATCAAGACTTAGGCCCTGAGTCAAACATAGCCACAACCTCAAGCTGTTGACTTTTGTTTGCTGGCAAAAGGGTGGGAAGCTCTCATTCAACTTGACTCAAAGTCCGGGCGGCCTGTCTGGGCAAAAAACGTGTTTTGTCCTTAGGCGGACCTTTTTCAGTAGGGAAATGCTATCTTGATCCGCGCTCATATGCCAAATGTGCCTAGCTTCCTTTAACGAACCAAGTGCAATCACAATGTGTTTGACTGACCAAAACCGGCCATTTCTGGCCTTTCCTCCAACCGTCCAAAGAACACCTTGCCTTTTTGCACACTTTACCCACAGCCGTCCATTTTGGGCTTGACATGTGTTGAGGGGACCTTGTCTGGTAACCCACTGCAGTAACCCACCTCGCGCTGTCGCACTGTGCACAGTTTTTCCGTGGGCCTCGGGTCTTCTGGCCCAAATTTCCGGCAAACCTATTGCAGCCGCCTGAGCTTGTCGCAGTGCCTAGACCTCAAATTTGGCGGGCAAATGGCGCGTAACCAGGGCGCACTGTTTCCTCAAACATCCCCCCTCACCCAAAATCAAGATTAAGCCTCCTTCACGGGTTTGCCAACCTTCCCCCCACAAGGCAAAAGGTTGATCCAAAACATGGCTTTGTGTTATTCGAGCCCCTTGACCTGGCCCTGACTCAAAGAGGAGATTCCTTTGAAGGAGCAAACCAACTTCCACCCATGGGCCGCACATGACGTTTTATACAACCCAACACGAAGGTCGGTGGAATTATTGCGGTTACAAATCCCAGGCCATCCAAAGAAATGAGTAAACATCGTTTCATACGCCTTTAGCGAGTAAACATGGTCTTGGGAAATGTCACGCTCATTCACGGTGCTCACGGTTTCACCTCTTGTTCTGCCACTGCACAGTGAGACATCAACACCGCATTTTGCGCCAGATTGGTATTGAATGATATCGTGCGCGCTTTTTTAAGTGTTCGATATGATAGTGCCAGGCGCACGTGTAGTCTAGTGTTGGAGCCGGGCGTTTATCAGGCACCACACCAGGATCATCCATTGGCTGGCTGAACACACCACAATCAGGGCTTGTACTAGCACCGTGCTGAGAAGTAGACTGACATTTGATGTCCGCGCTTGTCATGCACATTGAACACAGAAAAGTGCAATGTACAATACGCACATGCTAACTCTGTGGAAACATTGCGGCCACTTGTTTTAAGGCCCAAGGATCTAGTCCGCGCCGCATAGCTGGGAAAAAACGACTTTGTAGCCGTGCAATTGTTGCAGACCGAATCGGCAGGCTGTGGCATTTGGATCTGGGGGGGGGGGGGGGGGCAAGTTCACATTTTTTCACGGGTATTAAACTCCGTCTTTCACGAGTAAACTCCGTTGCTCACGCAAAATTCACGGTTGGCTCACGGTCCCCGGTTTGTCAACGATATTGGCGAAGCATACAAATAAAAATTGACATTGTCTGCCCATACAACATAGCTAGCCTACAAGCATCGAGTTACCACCTCCTAGACGGTAGCCCTGCCCATATACACGACCCAAGACACGTTGCCGCGCAGTGATGCTACGAGTGTGACTTCTTGCATGCTGATGCCACCGCGTGAATGACGCAGCGCAGCAGAGAAATACTTGCATGTGGCCAAGGTAATCTCGATCCATGGGGTCCATATCCATGCATGCTACATAGCTAGCATGAAGGCTTACCTTGTCACATGCATGGGAAATATGCCATAGATGACTGCAATGTACATTGTTTGGCATGTAGGCATGCATGTTGCATCACCGGGCCTTTGATAGCGCTTTCAATTCCGAGCCCAGCTGACCTCACAGGTGGGGCCATTCACGGGTAAACACCGTCTTTTGGGTAAAACACCGTCTGTTTGTAGAGACATAGTTTACTAGCGTCTTGGAAGTACTGGGAAATAGTGCAAACTGCAAACCTGAATTACCACACTCTGCGCTGTTTCAAGCACAACAGCCCGCAATTTACCAGGCTCACCTGGCAGTGCAAAGGATAATGAAGACAAACGTGAACCAAGAAAGGACACACATAGCCACATCTAAACAAATAATTAGGCAAACGTTACTCAGGAAAACATGAATTACTCGTTAGTAGTTGTCTTCATGAGTGAGTTGCCCAATAGTCTGGCTGCTTTGTAAGCGGTGCAAGCGGCCAAACACAGGTCCTGATAAAGCGCCAATGGACTGATCATGGCCTGCCGGTCTGAGTCGCAGCGTGGCCTGCGCGGTCTTGCCTCAAGCCCCAAAGTGACCATGTGACACCTGGCTAGGATTTTGCGTGACCAGGGATCCATAAACCATTGGCTTATTGACACGGGGACTCCTTTACTTTTTGGGGAACACCCCTAGCCATCTGACAGGTTGACTACTGTAATCACGGGATATCAGGACTCCTTTACTTTTGGGTGGAACACCCCTTAACCATCTGACAGGTTGACTAATCGTGGTCAACACTGTCAACAGCCACACTTAATCGTCCCTCGGCCGTTCCAAGTCAAACCGGCCCCGCTTGGGCAGGTGAGACCAGGCACGTGCCTGGCGTCATTCTACGAGCAGGTTTATGGTTCCCCGGCCTGCAATTCAAGTTGCGGCACAGTACATGAATCACATTGATCACGAACAACAGAAAGAGCCGGTATGAAACGGAAATAGCGTGTATACACACCCACCTATGTGTATCGAATGTGTATACACACAAATGCACACATACTTGAGCGAGGAGCGGGACGAAAGCAAGCAGACAAATTCTGGACCCATAAAGCCGCGCCCCGAAAAGTTGATTCTTGTTTTAGTCTAAGCAGCTTCGGCCGTGGGCAGAAAAGGGCTCGCGATTCCTTGCAATGCTGTGGCAATGACATCCTGCTCGCTGCCCGTGGAGTAATTAGTGTCTTTTGGTGGCAGAAATTGGGAGGTGCATTTACCACATGTGAGGACCGAAAAGAAACCTTCGTAGCAGCACGGGCTCGAATCCCCTGGTGACGAATGGTCCGACAATTTGTCTTTTTCAGAGGGCGTCACAGACTCCGGCAAAGCACAAACCCAGCACGGAACAGCACAGTGGAAACCGAAGGTCGAAGAACACTTGCCTTGGTCTGAAACTGTTTGCTTTGGCAAAGTCGGCCTAACCAAACAGAATCAAACAAAGCGTGCGACAAGCTTACGCTTCGTGCTTCAAATGTACCTCTTACTCGGGACCTTGTGATTGCTTACGAAACCCCATTAAAGCTTACTGCTGCAAGAGGAATTCCAGGTTTCATCCAATCTCATTTACATGTGATTTCCCCCGCCACTCAAATGGACCAAAATGGGGAAACCCAAAGCTCAAAAGCTCAGCAATAGGCAAGTGAGTAGATCTGTATATCGACAAATGCATATATATATATATATACATATGTTTATTTATATAGGCAGAAATGCATGTACATCGGTATGTGTCTCTGCACGCATGCACACAGCATGTGCAAATGCACGTGTCATAGTTCGTCGCGCCGTGCGTCCGTCCGGGGAATCCGCCGAAAATGGCTCGAGGCCTTCGCGGCGCTCACTTTGCACGGCTCTCACCTGGCAAATTTTCACGAGCCGCGGCTCGCTGCGGGAGGGGGGAGGCGGGGTGGACCCATAGGTGCTCCATGCAAAGCCTGTTGGCTGAATTGAGGGGCATTTCGGATTGAAGGTCCATGCCTTGGCACGGGTCCGACGTCCAGGTGTCACGCCTGGTGGCTCCTTGTAGATTTCTGGGAGATGGAAAGGGCCGCTGAAAGAGACGGGGATTTCAGAGGTGAGGCTAAGGTGCTGGTCATTCTGCCCTGGTTCAGTTGGCATAATACCTGCGGGAATACTCCAGCATGCGAATCTCTTCAGGCCATGTCTCCAGGTTTTGAGCCACCGTGTGAGCAGCAAAAGGTGGAGCGTGTTCAAAGATATGGGGGCATCAAAACATGAGGCCTTTGTGGCTTTCCTAGCAACATCCAAGAGGGCCTCCAAAAGGCAAAGATCACCATTTGCAAAGCCTCAACTGATGCTGTCAATCCCCGGCATGCAATCTTCCCACGCAACGAAGGCTGCTCTCTCTTTGGATGATTGCTCAGCGGTGAGCATCATCCAGCTAAGCCCATGCAAACCCTTGTAAGCAAGGCTATTGCTGTCTCTTGTGTTACATCTACTCCCATCCGACCACACATGCACGCGAACTCCAAGACCGCCTGTGCTGAGCATCGCGAAAACGAATGCACCTTTTCCGCGCGCAAAGCGGAGGTCCGGCACCCCTGCGGACCCCTCGCAACTATGTCCTACAAGCCTGGCTGATGGAAGTCCTGCACAGAGCTAGCGCTGATTCCGCATGGAAATAAAGCGCCTGGCGAAAGGACCTGGGTTGCGGCATTTCCATTGTCATCAACCCAGAGGGCAAACAAGCAAAACCATGGAAATTTGGGCTCTTGGATGGTTGCCCTGGATGATTGCGGCATTGCAATGCGCTGGTTGGCCATGGAATTTTGGGCCCCGTGGTTGCATTTGGGAGCGAAAGACCAGGACATCTTCCATCAGAGAAGCGTCAGGCGCACTGCCAATCACCGATGAGTTGACCTGCCCGGGGAATGCGAGGACCTATGTTGACCGTGCTTGGACCAAAGCGGAAAGCTTGTTTCTTCTTCTCCTCCCGCTGTGAGGGGTGGGAGGGTGGGCTTCATGGTCAGACAGGCATGTGTTTCAAAGCCAAGGCCCGTTTCATGAATCTTCCTCATTTTCAGCTTGCGGATTGGCTTTGACATCGAGAAAACGTGCTAATCACCTGAATGCCCAAAACGACGCCAGTGATTCCCTTCGCAGCCTTGGGGTGGGCCTTGGGCTCAAAGGTGGCCCTTGGGAGCATTGCCCCCGTCCATGGAAGGGGAGGCATTGAAACATCGAAGGGCGATGGCGATCATGCATATCACGCTCTATTTTCATTGGATGTTGTAAACCTCTAAGGGTAGCTTCCCCATTCTTTGCAGGGATCCTTCTTTCTAGAAAACCAGCAAAAACCCTGGGAAAGCAGTAGGTGTTTAAAAAGAACGATGGTTGAACAGAATGGGGAATCAACCCCTAGAAAACCGTGTTGCGCACCCGCACAAGCCTTTGAAGTACCTGAACTGGCTGCTAACAGGTAAACAAATCTTCGGGCGGCTGCAAGCGGACAAGGACAAAGGACACCCTGTCCTGCTATGTCCTGCTTGATGTTGAGACGAAACCCCACCTGACTGCGCTTCTGGTCCGTCAAATCATCTGCGCATCTCCGCGTCTGATCCCCACCCCCTCTCCCGCCTGGGCAGCTCAGCGGCCCTACGAAGCAATACCCGGGCTTGATACCGTGGATCGACGAAATCCACTGCGCACCACTTTGAAACCATGAGAAACCAGTGCTTGGTATTTAGATGATGCAGGATTTCGTCCATCCACAGTATAAAGCTTCATGTGTTCGGCCTATGATCCAGAACCTCTGCTCTGAGGGGGTGTTTCCCAATACCACCTTCTCAACCGTCGTTCTTTCCAAAGCTGCTTCCCTCTGGGTGCTTGAACCGACAAAAGGATCCCAGAGTGCAAAAGTTACCGTTGAGCTGCGTCAAACTCCCTAACTCGAGTTTTTAGTGGACTGTCTGGAAAAGCCAGGTCTGGACAACAGCAACGACATTTTCTCTTTGAGAAACTGAAGCATGCTCAATTGCCCAGCAATGGATGCCTACTTGGCTCTCCCTGAGCATGGGCGGTTTCTCAATGAGGGAGTCCCATGCGAGCGCAAAGAATGGTTGAGCTGCTTCTGGCGTCTCAAACGTCGAGTTCCAATCTTTGGACATGGCCACTGGTAAATACGCAAATGACCGGTGCTCACTTCCCGCACTCTGGAAAAAACAAAAACCGGTTTGGCCCGTTGGAAGCGGTTTCGAAACCCACAAACCCACCAAGTTCATTCCCTCATTCCCTACCTGTCGCAAGCGTCTGGCGGCCTTCACGTTCGCCAGCTTGTCCTTGGCCTCCTGCGCCCTTTCCTAGGCCGGGTCTGTGCCCATCGCCGAGGAAGGCAGCCACGGCCAAGAGTCGTTTGAGCAGGCAAGTGCAAATCGGATTTAGGGAGTCTGATCATTAAAACAAACCTGTGCTTTCTCATTTAGATAGTTTTTGTTAGTTTTGGTATGGGCTGTTTGGCATCCAGCAAAGCCGGAGTGGACATCTCAAGCCCTCGCACGCTTGTTGCCAATTTCCCCCCTCCGGCTGTTGAGAGGCTGCTGGAGGTGGGTGTCATTGGGTAAGCTCCTATTTTGATGGGCTGTTCAAGGGCAATCCTTGCCTTGGGTTACGCAAAGGGACTTCCATTGTAGTCGTTTTCCAATGGGGATTATTCCCGTCCACTATGGAACCTGATCGTGGAAGACTAGTTCTCATTGAAAGGGACCCTCTGGTGGGTTCCGAGTTAGTGTGCAGGAGGCTATGGATTAGGCTTGGCCAACACTCCATTCTCAACAGCCCAGGAAACCAGGACTATTTTGAGAGCCCTCAGCTCTTACACACCTTCAGGGCATTTTGAGGTATGGGTTTTGCAGGCATGTGATGGTGTATATGCCATTCAGATACATGATATACATAATTGATCCATGGCCGCTGGCGTCAACCCACAGCCTGAACATTTAGAGGCCACACCTGCAACTGCCAAAACCTTTCAAACGACTCCAAGACCTGAAATAAGAATTCCTCTCTCTAGTTTACAGACCTTCATGGACGTTTCCTGGGCAATTGCCGGGAGTGCCTTTTTTTTTGGGGGGGGGGGGTTGGCGCACACCTCTCAGCACATCCGCTTTATCAGGATTCTGCCTGAAACCGACCTGAAATCCAAATCCTTTACCGCCCCCTTTAAGGGCTCTCAGATCTATGCGATGCTTGCTTAGAAGGGATGTCCAAAGGGATCTGAAGCAACTCATTCTACCTTGGTCGGTAAGCTCGTTAATTTTTGGGCAAACATCTACCTCATCTCTTAAAAATAAAAAAAATAAAAAAAATAAATGCCCCCAACTGTAAAACATGACAGTTTGAGATTCTAGCCCATTTTCGTTAATCTAACATTGAAAAACTCGCCTCCCCAGTGGATAGGCCAAACAACGTCCCCCAAAAGTGACTCACGTGCATAAGATCAGGTAGTAAGACACTGAGCTACTTCCGAAAACTGAAATGATGGATGCCTTTCCTTTCCTTTCAGTGCGCCTCGTCCGTGTGACACGGTCAACTGTGCTTCAAGGGCTTGGGGGGGGGGGGGTTAAGGCAAGATCAAGAAGCTGTGATCCCTTCCAATCCGTTCTCGTTCTGCCTGAATCTCTGGATCCCCAAGTAAAATGACCTACATGGCGATGGGTCAAAACCCAAATCGCACTCCCAGTGAACATCCCAAGCCCCACTAAAATAGGTTCTAAAATGGGTGGTGAATTCACCTACCCCCAAAATGGGATCCCATTGGTGCTGACCCACGGCCACCTCAGCTCGTTTTACCGCGAGAGCGGTTTCTGGGACATCTCCCAGAACCCGCCCACCCCGCGCCCAAGGCTCCTCGCAGTGCGACACTTCTTTGGTCGCCTGCTTCAGCGCGGCGGAGCACTTCTCGTGCTCCGACTTGGCCGTCTGACAGGTGGAGGCGGGGGCTTAAGGGAAAAACGCCTCAGGGGACCTGCGGCTCCCTGGATTTCCCCGTACAACATCACCAGAAAAAAAAGAAAGCCCACCTTTCATGGGCCAAGCTGATGCCTAAAACCACCAACAAGGGAAAATTTGGGGACCCCTGTGGAATCTGCAAAGCTCTGCACATGTTACGACTCCGAAACCTGAAGCAAGACATCCGCCAGTCAAGGGCCTTCAATTCATGGCTAATTTTACATGGGAGGCGGAAGGGTTTTTATTTTCCTAGGTTCGGCGGGATCGTTTTTTGTCCTAGGCTCGGCAGGCACCAAACCGCTGCATTTTACAGCATTGTTGGGGAATGACCGTAGGGTGACCCCAAAGAGTGACCTGGGGAGACTGGAAATGGGCACCGAGAAAAATCACAGCGCCTGATGCCTGCGTCTGCATTTCCATGTATTGTTGCCAGCATTGTCTGCGAAGTTTCTCTCAATTTGTACTTTGATGTTTGCACGGCGAATCTCTGGTCCGCGGCTTCCTTTAGCATTCACCACATCCATCCCCGGGCCCCAGCGCCTGCAGGGCTCGTTTCGCTGAAACGCCCTGGTGGCTGAACTCGTAGCCTTTGGACACCACTTGCTTGTAGTCCTTCCTTGGTGACCAACACTACTCTGTCCAAAATAGAAGGTTCAACCCTGAGGTCATGTAGCCATTTGATGTTGGACTAAAGGCCGAGTGGAAACTCTGGAAAATCACCAACACCCCAAAAACCTGGACTGCAAGCTCTCACACACGTCCTAGGGATCCTTGCAGCCTAGGCTGGCTGGCCCGCGATTCAAAACATCTGCCGAGCCGCCTAAATCACATGATTGGTCCAAGCTGAAGGATCCCTACACGCTGGCCTCCTGCTGGCTTGCGGAAGCGCATTTTGAGACACAGCCACCACAAGGGCCGAGGGAATCCTTAGGCTTGGCCCGGGTCCCGGATGCACTGGGGTCGGTCTTCGGACCTAAATTTTGGGGGTGTTCAACATGGTTGGTAATATTTCAAGCGCCCAGCAAGATTCTCTAGAAACCTAGACAGCACAAAGGCTTGGCTCCTTGACCAGTAAGCCAAACCAAACTGCCGTCTACACAAAGCTGTTAGGATGCTGAAATGTAATTCTCTTGCAGTGGTCGGTTGGTAAAATGCAACACAATGGGAGTTGCGGCAAAACGATCCGCCCGCTTGAAACGTCCACGGAGGAAATCAAACAAATCCCAAGAAGGTCACTTCACGCTTTGACGCACCACTTTCAGATGCCATCCTGACTGAGCCTAAACCTGAACTTACTTCGACTTGTCCCCGGCCGTGTCCTTTTTGTTACACCCCACCCGTCGATTGATGTTCATTCTCCGGATCCCGTACCTCAACAGAGAGGTGGGGTGAGGGGCTTAAGATCTTGCATCCCTCCAAAGGCTTCGCATGTTGCCATAACTGAAATTGCAGGCAGGCCATGGGTCAAAACCCAAATCGTACCCCCAGTGAACATCCCAATCCCCACTAAAATTGATTAAAATGGGTGGTGCACCTACCCCAAAATGGTACCTTTGGTTTTGAACCATGGCCAAATTGTTGGCCCCCGCCCCCTTGGGTGGGGATGTTTCGATTCCCCGATCTCGAAGCCACTACCCTCAGGGAAACATGGGGTCCATACACGTTGTAAAGAAAGATTCGCGTGCCGGAATACACTTACAAAGCCATGCTCCCTTTGGGCGCGATACCCCGGGCTGAGCATTCCAATCCTCACCTGCCCAATGGGACCTTGAACAAACCAACAACATTTTGCAAACCCAAGAGGATAACAAACGAGAAATTGCATGCCCAACCCCAGCAAAAGACGTGAGGTTTCTCAAAATAAACTTTGGGTGAATGGGAAATTCCCGAAATCCATTTCGCACCCCTTTGAAACCATGAAAAAACAGTGTTCGTTGGCATTTACCGGGGAATGATCAGAAACCAGGGTTTCTTAGGTGATGCGAAATGGATTTCGCAACCATCCACCGTATCCCACCCCCATGAATGGTGCTGAGCCACTGGGCCTGCTGCACCTTCTTGTGGGCCGACTCCTGGGAAGGTGAAACCCCCGGCACGGCTCCCTTTGACACCAGGCAAGGTTCCAACGTATGCGCCCAGCTCACCTTTGGAAAGCTGGGTGCAAAATAGAGGACGTTGGATGTAAAGACATCTTGTGGCTTCCTTCATGGGAAAATAATTATGTTGGGGGAATGTAGCACCCACAACAAAACCTTGCTATGCAAGACGTGATTCCTGCAAGAGAGCAATCCCGCAACAAGTACTACATGACATTGACATGGGACGATTTTCCAAGAGAGTCATGGTGCCCCTGCTCACTCTCCATATCGTTCGAACACCTTCGGACCCTCGCAAACCTGCGCTTGCGCGCGTTTCCGCAAAATTGCGCAATCGCCCGCGCGAATCGCCGATTCGCGCGGGCGCTTCCGAAAAAGTTTTTCGCGGCAGGTCCTTGGCGGTCTTGAACTTGGCCACCTCAGACTTGGCAGCCCGGAGCTTCTCCTGAAGATCCTGCGCGCACAAAACAAACAAGCGCGACGGAAAGCTCACTTGCCGAAAGGACTTAGAACTTAGAGGATAACCTTTGGGGCCATGACTGAAAACCAACCAAAAAGGCAAAACTAAAAGTTCAAAAGGTCGGCCTTGAGCAACTGAGTAAGTACCCACATATTTATATATACACAATTGCGCCATCTACTTCTCACTTCCTGAGTGGGAAATGAGTGGATTGGGCCCACAAAAAGTCGTGGCGTTTGCTTGCCACTAAAAGGGCCTTTCCACCACGTTCCTCTGGGCTGTCCTCAGATCCCCTGCCCAAGGTCTAAGTTTGAGTGCTGGAAACTACCCACTCACAACTAAAAACGGTCGAACAAAAACCTGAGGACCCAAAGGACTGGTTGAACCTAGTCCAGGACCTCGCGGAGCATGCGGAGCGAGACTTTGACCCCTGCCCCCCTGGAGTTGGCCTTGGCACGCTGGGTGGCGTTCTTCTTGGCCGCGCGGGCGCGCTTCTTGCGCTTCAGTGCCCGGGTCTTGTCCTCAAGGGTTGCTGCAACCAGGTCCCACTACCCTGCAACCAGCGCCCCAAAAGGCCGACGACATAGGACCGGGGCCCCAATTGTTTGGGGCAGTTCGCCATGGACACGTTTCTTGGACAGTTCCTCAAGCAACGCTATCGGGATGCGGAAAAAAAACCGGAGCACCTCAACTCCATGACATGATTCCACTGTTTGATTGCCCGAAGGTAGGCTCAACCTTGGGGTAATCAACAAGCCCTGGTGGTTTTAACAAGGTTCCTTGAAGAATACATCCAAAACCACCTTCTTCGCCACGGGAACCTCCACATCAGCTGGAAAGCATTATTTCTTCAAGGGCCCCTGATTCCCATGGAGCCCAAACAAACAGTATTGCTTCTACAGGAGTCTCCTTGTGACCCAAACATAAAACGCCCCAGTCTGAACCGGGAGTTCGCCGAACGCGTCGATCCTCTCGCTCCACCGCGCGGGTGAGCTTCCCGGCGGCGGCCGACAACTTCTCCAGCTCCTTCTCTGCCTCGTTTCGTAGTGCTCGTACAGGATAGATAGTAAATTACTCGGTTGCGAAATCTGCGCCCCTAAAGAGTGACTTTTAGCGGCTAAAATGACTTCAGGTCAAGTCAAAGGACTGACACTTCCTGGTTGCACCACTGGGCTACTGCGACGTGTCTGCAGCTCACGAACCTCCAGCCATGGCCAGTCGAAAAAAGTCCCAACTCAGAAGGCCAAGGTTCGTAGGAACAGGGCGCCCGTGTTTTTTGATTCTTCGGACTTTTTGATAGTGGCTTTTTTTTGAGAGGGAGACCCATCCAGAAAAAACAAACGGAAGCAGAGGTGCCGCTAGGCAGCTGGGCCAAGCTGGCTCAAACTGAGTTGCCCGGGCCAACCCGTGCCGTAGAATCCCCCCTACTGGGAGAGGAGGGTGGGTGGTCTCCATTTTGTTGCCTCAAAGGAGACTGGAACCATAAATCTAGAACCTGAAATAAGGTGATTGGGGGAATATTCCCCACATAAACCACCATTTGGGGTGAGGTCGTGTGAGGTCGTTATAATTCACCCAAATAAATGGAATTCCAGGCATTACCCTCCCCCAAGTCCATTCTTAAGGGAGGGATGCCGTGGACTGTCGCCTGTGTTCGGGGCTCCCCTGAAGACTGACGACAAAATTCGCGATGACGACATGGCCACCCTGAAAAGATGCAACAAAACAACACAACACAAAAACAAATAAACATCATTCCATATCATCCCAGCCTCTCCCATCTCTACAAAAGTGCCCTCTGGCAGTGCTTGCCAGGGCACGGTCCGCAGCTCTTCCCTCTTACCTCGCACAAACCACAAGCCCACATTCAAGCTAGTGGGCAAGACTCGTAAAGCAACCCATCGGAAGCAATGGTCAACATGGGCCTGTCTCATCATTTGGATCAGCCTTAAATTTCCTTTTCAAACGCAACCGAGAGGTTTCCAACTCAGCAAAAGGTTTCAGGCCCAAGTACGAAGCTGTGGTATGGATGGGTCATTGCGTCAACCATGATCTGTGGCTCCATTATATCGAGCCAGCCACTCGAGGGTACCAACTTCCCATTTCCAAAAAAACATATACATGGGTGTCTCAAAGCGGGACCCTCCAAATGGTTGGTGTCCTTTTCGCTTCCTTTGCCATCCCAATTTGGACAGCTTCCATTGCCATGCCCAAAAAAGAACCCAGGTTTTGTTGACTCCCGGTTTGACCAACAACATTGGCCCCTTCAACCAAAAACTCCCCTGCTTTTGGAGACAACATGTGAGCTTTGACGCGCGCCAGGTTGCCTTTCAGCTTCTGGAGCAAGGGCTTGATCTCGCGCTTCAGCTTCTGCACCAGCCGCTGCCTTTTGGAACTCTCCCGCCGCGCCTGGCGCGCCTCGCGCCGGGGCGCCTTCTTGGACTTGGACTTTGGCTTCGCCTGGCGGCAGAAATCGCTCGGAGCTGTTTCAGTGCCAATGAGACCGGATGACCGGAACGATCATGTTTTACTTTGGAGTCGGAACGCATTGACAAGGCAGCTTCAGGCGACACGATCTTTGTCCTGGATATCGTGTCTCATGATGTCCCATGCGTTGGAGATGCCCCTTTAAGGATCACACCAGGACGCTCAGTTCTAAGTGGAAACCAACAGGCTACTAAAAAGGAGACAATTTGACAAATGCGTAACCCGAAATCGGAAAAAAAGGAACCCCTCCAAAGCCCACATCAAATGAAAAGGACAACGTATGACACCAGCTCTTTCCTAATTTGCACACTTGTTTTACCACAACAAAACACGAAGAATCAGAGGGGGCGTGCCTTGCAACATAACGAAAATGTTCAAGCCAGGGAATGTGTGAGCTGGGGGTATTCTGCCGGCTGCAATGGCTTGACATTGCACACCCTTGCAGCCAAACTTAGTCAAAAATAACGTGCCAGACCTTCTCCTCCTCCTCTTCCTCCTCCTCCTCTTCCTCCTCTTCTTCCTCCTCTTCTTCCTCCTCTGGCTCTTCGTCCTCCTCTTCCCACTCCTCTTCCTTCGCGGCGGGTCTCTTGCGCGTGGCCTTCCCTTTGCCACCTTTGCCACCCTTCGCGCTGGCAGGCCGCTTCATGGCTTCGAGAAAACAAGACCCCAGCAAACACCCCCGGATCCACTGAAGGTCCTTGACCCAACTCGAGCCACTGGCGAAGTCGTGAAGCCACAGTGCACCGATGCCCATCTTATCTCTTTCAGGTTCCAACCCCCAGGCTTTGACACTGAAACAACAAAATCTGGACAAGGTCACCTGAGTCGCAATCAAAACCTGGTAAAAGAATGGTCGACCCAGAACCATGTAAAGAATTAAGCAGGCGGCCGCAAATATTTCTGGCTGGGATCGTCCCTTACGAACCTTCACCTACCCGGGTTTTGAGTGTGGCTCACCTGCTTCAAAACGGGACCCCCTGTTCTTACGAGTGAGCGCGTGAAACCCACTGGCCAGAAGAATGCTTCTTGTAAGGAGGGCTAAACAGTTTCAGAAGGCGGCATGCTGCCTATCATTTGCACGCAGCCTCTTGCTTATGCTAGCAAAGAGGCACTTGTGAGACACACACACACAGACACAGACACACAGACACACAGACACACAGACACACAGACACACAGACACACAGACACACAGACACAGAGACACAGAGACACAGAGACACAGAGACACAGAGACACAGAGACACAGAGACACAGAGACACAGAGACACAGAGACACAGAGACACAGAGACACAGAGACACAGAGACACAGAGACACAGAGACACAGAGACACAGAGACACAGAGACACAGAGACAGAGACACAGAGACACAGAGACACAGAGACACAGAGACACAGAGACACAGAGACACAGAGACACAGAGACACAGAGACACAGAGACACAGAGAGACACAGAGACACAGAGACACAGAGACACAGAGACACAGAGACACAGAGACACAGAGACACAGAGACACAGAGACACAGAGACACAGACACAGAGACACAGAGACACAGAGACACAGAGACACAGAGACACAGAGACACAGAGACACAGAGACACAGAGACACAGAGACACAGAGACACAGAGACACAGAGACACAGAGACACAGAGACAGAGACACAGAGACACAGAGACACAGAGACACAGAGACACAGAGACACAGAGACACAGAGACACAGAGACACAGAGACACAGAGACACAGAGACACAGAGACACAGAGACACAGAGACACAGAGACACAGAGACACAGAGACACAGAGACACAGAGACACAGAGACACAGAGACACAGAGACACAGAGACACAGAGACACAGAGACACAGAGACACAGAGACACAGAGACACAGAGACACAGAGACACAGAGACACAGAGACAGAGACAGAGACACAGAGACACAGAGACAGAGACAGAGACAGAGACAGAGACACAGAGACACAGAGACACAGAGACACAGAGACACAGAGACACAGAGACACAGAGACACAGAGACACAGAGACACAGAGACACAGAGACACAGAGACACAGAGACACAGAGACACAGAGACACAGAGACACAGAGACACAGAGACACAGAGACACAGAGACACAGAGACACAGAGACACAGAGACACAGAGACACAGAGACACAGAGACACAGAGACACAGAGACACAGAGACACAGAGACACAGAGACACAGAGACACAGAGACACAGAGACACAGAGACACAGACACAGAGACACAGAGACACAGAGACACAGAGACACAGAGACACAGAGAGAGACACAGAGACACAGAGACACAGAGACACAGAGACACAGAGACACAGAGACACAGAGACACAGAGACACAGAGACACAGAGACACAGAGACACAGAGACACAGAGACACAGAGACACAGAGACACAGAGACACAGAGACACAGAGACACAGAGACACAGAGACACAGAGACACAGAGACACAGAGACACAGAGACACAGAGACACAGAGACACAGAGACACAGAGACACAGAGACACAGAGACACAGAGACACAGAGACACAGAGACACAGAGACACAGAGACACAGAGACACAGAGACACAGAGACACAGAGACACAGAGACACAGAGACACAGAGACACAGAGACACAGAGACACAGAGACACAGAGACACAGAGACACAGAGACACACAGACACACAGACACACAGACACACAGACACACAGACACACAGACACACAGACACACAGACACACAGACACACAGACACACAGACACACAGACACACAGAGACACAGAGACACAGAGACACAGAGACACAGAGACACAGAGACACAGAGACACAGAGACACAGAGACACAGAGACACAGAGACACAGACACACAGACACACAGACACACAGACACACAGACACACAGACACACAGACACACAGACACACAGACACACAGACACACAGACACACAGACACACAGACACACAGACACACAGACACACAGACACACAGACACACAGACACACAGACACACAGACACACACACAGACACAGACACACAGACACACAGACACACAGACACACAGACACACAGACACACAGACACACACACACAAAGCAAGACTGCAAAGGCTCACAACGCATGGACCGTCAGCAATGCCGCGTGGGGCATTGCTGTACGCATATGCTTAATTCAAGACATCCCCTTAAGACCGCACAAAGAGAACAAAACACGCTGCCATCCCAAACCTGGCCCCAAGGGACAAGCGTGGCTGTGACATCATGCGGGTCAGCCGCCGACATGCATCATGGAAGCCCGCGCATTCCTGCCTTCCACCACTGCAAAGCACACCGTGCTAGGAAGCTTGGTTGTGATGGCAAGGGTAGAATGTTTCCGTCAAAAAAATCCATTCAGGCAAACATGCACACCTCCCAAGCTTTCAGGCACAATCTCCCCTCTCTGCTTCCTTCTGTGCTTCCTTGCCTATGAAGGTTCAGGATCGTCACCTGGCAAAATGTCTCACAGTCTGACTGCCCTGAAGCCCGCTTGTCTGACATGTGCTAGTTGCTTGGACCATTTCCCCATGAAGCCAAGCAATTGTGCATCACTTGAACATGGCTGTGGGTCATAACCCTGTGGCTCTGGTGAACATCAAAATAGGTGGCAAATGGATGTTCATCCACCCCAAAAAAAAAAAATGCAGAAATCCATAGGTTATGCAACCCAGGGCCACATGGCTTAGCTTAGCCAACGACCCCCGCAAGAAACTATGCAGGAGACAAAGTGGGCTTCATGGCGCTGCCTCACGATGTTGACTTCGGCTTGCAGCAAACTCCACCGATCGGGCAGCGCGATACGAATTCCATCGGATCATTGTCGGGCTTAGGGAAATCAAAAACTGGACTTGGTGCCGCAGGTCCCCATCCAGGCAACCCAGGGAACAGAGCCTGCGCAAAACCACAGTCATTGCCAGATATGCCGTCAACACTGTCGAGCGTCCTGGTAGACAGCTGCCTGGATTGAACTTTCTGGGAATCACTTTGCACAACCCGCGCGCACACTCACACAGTAAATACACACACAAACAACAAATAGCGTTCCTCCATGATCAAAGTAAGCTGTGCCAACTGCGCCTTGCGGTTAGGCATGATAAGATTGGTCGTGGGGGATCGCGCGCGGCGCGGGTTTTGGCACAGGTGTTGGGCTTTGATTCTTCGCCTGGCGCATATTTGGCTACTTTGCTTCAAGGGTGCGTAAGCTATACGAAGGCACAGGCTGCCGTTTGGGCTCTCAACACCCACCGGGTGTGGGTGGGGAGGAGACCCTTTTCAGACTTTGACGATGAGCCTGTGAAATGCTTCCCCTATCAACATACGTCCAATACAAGAATCATGAGTGCTGCCTTAAGATGGAGCGATCTGGCTGAAGAGCGTGACTATTCTGGGCAAGGCATGAAGTGCCTCAACAAAGTCGCATCTGTTTTCGACTTGGGAATCAAGTCCTGCACTGGAATAGAAGCTAAATCAGAAAGCGGGACCCGCCAGGGACTGGCGTCACCCAAGCAATGAACTTATAGCATCAATGGCAACTAAAATCCCAACGTGTCTAGGCGTTGCTTGTGCGGCGTGCAGACTGCGCAAACGTCTTCTAGAGCGAAATGTATACAAGATATTTGATAATGCTAGGAAAGCGCGAGGCCAGCGGCAGGACACTTTATGATGCAGGGTCCCGCAGATTGGGAGGCTGCTTTTTAAGCATGGCGTGTGCCTTTCACGATATCCGCTTTGTTGGGCTGGATTTGTTTTTGCTGATACTGCCTGCGCTCCAAACCGTGATGTGGTCCTGTCCAGACGTCCCAAAACGTGGCCAAACAACATGTCTCAAATGCTTTGTGCCCTTCCAGCCGCCCAAACGTAACAGGGCCCAACGAATGAGACGTGAGACCTTCCCCAGTTCGGCGCGGGGATCGAAGTCCGCCGGCCTCCCTTGCCTTCCTCAGCCTCCGCTCCTGCCGTGATCTGGGCTTCTCCCCTTCCAAAATGTATCTCCAGGCTGCCGGACTGGAAGTGATACAGGGTGATTGGGTTTCCCGCTGAAACTGCCACCTTTGAAGGTTCCAAAAAGGCCAATGGGAACCCCCGTGGTATAGAATGATGGTGAAAGAGAAGTTCATCCAGATTTAGGTCAAGCTACTACAAACCCAGAGCGTTCCAGCAAACGTCCCTGGCAAGTTTTGGCTTGAGGCTCTCAAGCCAAGCCATTGGTTGCAGTGACTCCCCGTACTCCAAAATGCATAATGCATGTCGTTGATTGACACGTATGATGTTTAACTAGGCACCTTTTGGTTGGAATTTGCATGCGGACTTTTATGTATAACAATTTGTGAGGATAGCGCCGCATTTGTGGATGAAAAGGAGGACAAACCCAACACAGCACTGGTTTGTGCACTTGAACCTTAACGGATCGGGACTGTGGCTACAATCACTCAAGCAGAAAGCTATGAAAAACATATTCTCAAATGTGGGGCAAGGCGGCCTTAACTTCCGGAGCTCTAGCGAGCTTTTTTCAACTTTGCCCACATGCGACCCCCGGCCACAGCAAACTGCCTGGCATCGCATCTTCCAACTTGTCCGCGTTCGCGGCGATGGCGGCTTCACCGGTGGCTTCGCTGCTGGCCTCAGTTGTGACTTGTGCCCTACTGTTTGGGACCAGTTTGGCACACCTCCAAGAGGTCTTAGGTCCGCCAAGCACGATCCTCACCGGCCCGAGGCCCAAGATCCAGCCTGGTGCCACACCAAACCATGAACTTGCAAGCTTGGCAGCTACCAAAAAAGGCCGAAGGAGGCCCTTTTCGGGTTTCTGGTGCAACAGTGGCACCCACAGCAACTGCGCCTGGCAAACTGACAAGACTTTGCTCAAGGTTCCCTATCCCTCGATCATATCAAAAATCCGCCGACGCCAGTCGAGCGTGTACATGGTAGTCCGCAACTTGGTCTTCCTTCGGATCTGAAGGCTTTTGGGGCTGCAATTTTTTGGGCATGGTGTCCAAAACGCTGTAAATTTTCCAGTTTTGTTGGGGCTTGCCTGCTAAAAACCTGCGTTTCGGGGAAGTCTATTTTTAGGGTATTTGAAGGGAGTTGCTAGTATCTGCTTTTGATGGTTGATTTTGGGGAAATATGAACAAATCCTGGTGTTGTTGACCCTTTTTGTGGCCAGCCGGCTGCATTCCCAGCATTCCCGACATTTCTGGTATTTTCTGTGTTACGTCAATTTTGCGTGTCTGAAAGGCTTGAATTGTTGGATGCGAAGATTGGGTCTGTTGCTGTACGTTGTGTGGTTGCATCCCTTGCATTTCCAGCATCCCCTGCATCTGGGACACTGAACAATAGGAAAGTGGCAAGAAGGCCTTGTTGTGGCACTTTCAGACTTCCACGAAGACAAAAGGTCTTCAAACAAATCCCTTGCACCCCACTGGCGTCGGCGGATTTTATTCTGATCCATTCTGTCACCCATCTTCCCCTTCCCTTCCCTCCCCTTCCCTTCCCTCCCCTTCCTTTCCGTTTTGTCCCTATTTTCTTTTCTCGGCGTATCGCGCCCCGCCACCTCCCCGACGCCGGGCCCAAGGGCGTCGGAGGGCCCCATGGGCCCCATGGGCTTCAAGGCCCGGGCGCTGGGCAGGCCCGCCGCGGCGGCCTCGCCGGCGGTCAGCCTGCCGCCGGCTCCGACGTCGTGCCGTCGTGTTCCAACCGAAAATGGGAACCCATCGGACCTGACATTCGGGACGAGGGTGTTTTGTTTTTTGTTTTCTGTTTTTTCCTTTGTTCCCAAGGGAAACCAAGAGACACCATGTTGAATTTTCTTTTCCCAAGAAAAACCAGGAGACACCATCTTGGTTGACGTGGGAAGGGGAGCAACAAAAGAAATTTTGGCAGTTAGGTGGCTGGATTTCAACCACTCAACCACAATAAGCAACAATGCAAAATGTTTCCCAACAACAACCATGAAATGGGAACCCATCGAACCTGGGCTTGGCGGCACTTTTTGAACACATGGGCTGGTTTCCTCGGATTAGATACGCCTTTCGACCAAATGGGTTAGTTCCAACGATGGGTTTTTGGGTTTCGTTGTTCACAATCTCACCTGATGCTTCTTGTTTGAACAAATGATGTGCTATTTGTTGAGCAATGTGGAACATCGTGGGTCTCTGCCGAAATAAGCTCCAGAGTGGTCCGGAGCGGTTCTGGGGCACCAAACGGTTCCGGGGGTGCCATGGAGCGGTCGCTGGGCAGGAGGCGGTTGCTCTGTAGGGTTCCGGTAAGGCAGGTTCCGGAGGGTTTCGGCGCGTTTTGAGCAACAAATCTGCAGTTTGGTAGTGTAGCTGTGGAAAGCACTCAGAATTCGTACACCTGTCATACCGATTCGGTAGGGTAAGGTGCCATGCCCACAACCAAGCATCATTACAGGTAAGACTGGCACCCAAAATTGACAAAACCTTTTCTGGAGGGGATCCTTTTTACCGGGGAACCACCCCTAACAATCCACCTGCGCGACTCTGAGGTCGACATTGATGTGAACTTCGGATCACTCCCGAGGACCTGAGATGAATCAACTCCCCACAAGGGGAATCGCCCGGATTTGTCTCCGTGGCCTCGACCCTCGCTGAGTCCAGTGGCCTTTTCTGCCCAATGTATGGCAAAGGTAAGATATCCCCGCCCAAATCACGGCAAACGCAGCACAAGTCAGCGCCACAAAGCTTGCAAACACCTGCATGCAAGCAAAGTGACCGGTGGAAATGGTTATATCCAGCTCTTATGCGCGAGGAAGCTGAAAGGAGGTTCCCAAAGAAAGTTGTCTCAAGGGGTTTGGGCAGTGAGAACATTCAACAAAAATGCATGTTGCCTGGAGAGTTGACTGCTGGGATTGTGCCTTGTGCCGAAATGTGCACCCATCAGGAATGAGGACCCCATTAAACGTGTCAAGAGAAACCAACAACGAATTACCAGCCCTTAGTATGTCCGCAAGCCAAGGCGACATAAACCAAACATCCTGAAAGTGCCCTATTTTTTAAATGCTCGCCTCGCTACGAGGGATGGTCTGAAAGGAAGACCAAAAGGAAACCCACCTGGAGCAATCGGTCCGACTCATTCTGAGACTAGCTTGAAGCTGAGGTGTTTCTTGGATACTGACATTCTATCTGGACCAAAGCCTGCCCGGACGCACGGAACCCCAGGAAATTTGCTGGTTGCAAAACGGAGTTCGGAAAACCTTGTACCTCGGCTTTTGCCCACCGAAATGATGTGTTTGATTCTGTCCATGATAAAACTTGCAATGCAACACATCTTCAACCCACTTGCCCAAACACCCACAAACAAAAAGAGAGATTATGAACCTTTTGGGGCCATGACTAAAAAGGATAAGCATGGGCCAAAAGGGAGAACCAACAGATTCGCTTCCAATCTGTAGACCTGACCCCCAGGACTCCCCTTGAGCTACGCTTCGTGCAGACCTGCCTCCTCTCCAGCGCCCCAGGCTCGAAACGCTTCAGTAGCGTCAGCCTGCGAAAACCCGCGCCCGGTGAAGGCAAAAAGCGGCGGGCAGGCAGCTGGGATGCAGAAAGGATCCAGCCCTCGGTTTCCTCATGTTTCGGGTGACCCAATGAATGGATTCTCTTTAAGAAATGGGTCCCTTTTGGATGTGACACACACACATGGTTGTTCTTTGGAGCAAGCTGGAACCGCTGTATGCATTAGGGTCGCTCCAATCTAATTGATGAGACACACGCACACTCAAAGCTCCCCTTTTAGGTTGACCTTAGGTTGATCTGGGATCAACGTTTGAACGATGTTCAACACACGTCATGATTTGATTTCGTGACCGCATACTCACAATCGCACAACTGAAATCCGTGCTTGCATAACCCTGTCGCCCAGCTGAAATCCACTAAGCTGAAAAACAAACTCACACGCTCGCGCACACACACTCAAACACAAGCAACACAATTAGGGTTAGTAGGGTGAAGCACATCTCGATCAGGATTGGCAAGCAACGCACAATGCTTGGAAAAGGTAGAATGTTGAAAGTCCTTCATTGTTCTAAACATTGGACCCGAATGATAGTGGGCGTGGCTTTCCTCATCATTGTCCTGGCGGTGGTCTGCATCCTACGAACCCCACTTCCAGGGTTAGTTCCTGGATGCCCCGCTGGCTTCCCAATGGAAAGTGCCACAAAGTGCTGAACAACTTCAACAAGTGGAACCCACATGTTATCTCGACCCCTCCTTGCGCAGAATAGGGTTCCGGGGAAAAAAAGAAGAAGAAACAATATCCATCCTCTCTCTGGGAAGCGAATCATACAGATTCTTTGGCTAGCCTCAGTGCAGCCAGGCAGCAAGTAGGCCGGCCAGTTTTTGACCGCAGTCCGTGACTTCTGGGAGGTGTAGGTGTGCAGCATCGCCTCAAGCGAGAGCTTTCCATGCGGCATGATGTTGACCCAGGATTAATATTAGGGGGGTGTTCCCTCCAAAAGTGATGAATTCCCACTAAAAGAGGCACCTCCCTATTAATCAACCGGGTTTTTGTTCTTAATCCGGGGTCAACATTGCTGGGGGGTCTCCCAAGCCATGGAGGGGACTGTCCCGAGCACCCCCGAGCCCAGCACCATGGCGTCCTTCATCTTCTGCCTCGGAGACTCACTTGCTGAGTGGAAGGCCCAAAAAAGTTCAAACTTTATATTCATCACTAAAATTGTCTTCCCAAAAAGATTAAAAATCATGAACTCAGGAAGTGAGGAGAGAGAGTGGGATAATTTAATTGAGGTCCCTTCAAAGGGAGACCCACGAATGCGTGGCTTCCTGTTTTCGGTTCCCTTTAAAAGCAAGATCGAAAGCTGGCGCTGTTTGCCAGGAGAATCATAAGACTGCCTTTTCCACCAGACTTAGACAAGTCCTCTTCATCGGAAATTGTCCGGCGGTAGCTTTTTCAAACCTTATCTCCAATGATTTGCTAAATACAATTTATGTGCTTTACGGATTGAATATATTGCGGATACAGATTATGGGTTGATAGGTTGCACGGATTGTCCACACTCTAGCTCCAATGTACGGTTTTGATCCCAAGTTTGCAGCGCGGACTGCGGACTATGATTAAGCCCCCGGGATTTCGAACACGCTAGTTAGTAATCATTTCGATATACACGTCTGCAACACAAGCGCATGCAGCCTGCATGCGTCAGTTCGCGACCCCTGCAACTTCCCCAGCTTCATGTCCTTTGGGGCTTTGGGGCGGCATCCCTACAAAGAATTGCTAGCGGTTGCTACGAATAGTGCAAACCCAACGCCACTTTCCCTCACCTAGTTTTCCGCAGGCTTGCTTCAATCCGTTTGCGGACCCTGGCTAAAGCTGACAACACTATGCCTTCGCAAAGAAGGTCCCAGGATGGACAAGAACGAACAAACAAACCAAGGTTTGATTTTTCAAGCTAATTCGAGGCATACTGTACCCTTGAAAGTGCCTTGGGGATCATCAAGGAAAACCAAACTCGAAACCCCTACCATTTGTTTTGTGTCCTGTTTGGACAATAGATGCCATTGGTAAATGAGTAGAACTAAACTAAAAAACAGCTTTAGACAGTACCACATGCTTGTTCAACCTCACCTACAAAGGACACCTATGGCTCTTTGATATCAAGTTGCAGCCATCGTCAATCCGTGGTCATCGGGGCGTCGCCCCTACTCAATCCTCAAGCCATGCCAGCTACTTGCAGGGATAGCGATGAATTGTGCAACTCATAAAATGCCTTGCAATCTGGGTACAGCTCGCTACATTCTGTTTTTCTTCTGAGTCTTTTGATTTCGCCATGAAGTGTTCAATTTGTTTTGCCGAACTGAGCAGAGGGATCACACAAACAAACACCACACGTGACCACCTTTGCGGACCTTTAAAACACCTTGAACCTGCTTCTGGAAACAACCAAAGTCGGATTCATTGAGGTTGCTTTGGTTGCGAGCTCATGAGACCCTGATTCACTTAACCCCAACATTCACCCCAGTCCTCTCCCCAGCTCCCTTCCATTCAGCGCCCAGCTGTCCGTTCGGACCGCCCGTCAGCGCTCCAAGGAAGCGCCGGACGCCCGCGTCGAAGTCTGCCTGGAGGGGCAAAAGGCGCACTGCGTGCAACTGGCCCAAGAACCCGCACCGGATGGGGAAAACAAAGGGATCATGACAGTGTCCGTCGGGGTGTATGACCCAAACGTCAGACTTCATGGAGACTCCAGGTATACGTCTATATACATGTACAATCATGTACATATACATACCTGGATCTTCCAAATCGTGTATTTTTCATGCCTTTTCGTGAAAAGCTGCTTTTTCAGACAAACAACACTTTTTTGCGTTTCCAGGCACTTTTCACTTTGTTGCTCTTCTGGGACAAATCCACGAAGGCGAAACGGCGACAATACCCGACCAAACGGCGACAATACCCGACCAAACGGCGACTTTCCCCGACCATGTTTTCAGCCAAACTTGAAACGACACGTTTGCAGTGAAAAAGCGTATTTGCGGCCAAAGGACGGACATTTGTGCTTTTTCAGCAAACGGCGGGAAAAATGCACACTTGAAGATTCAGGTATATAGATATATATCTTTATGCATGTACTATATAATACTCTATATATATATATATCTGCAAAGGGATTTCTTAGAAGAGCGATGTTGGTGACAAACCTGCTTGAAGGTGTTCCCTATGTAATTACCTGGGGAAACAACGGCCAAGGTACTGCAAGACATTCAATCATGTAGGTGGCTGTCTGCCATTTGAAGGGGCCACTCAAAAGGCAGGGCAACATGACCAACACACAGGTCAGAGTTTTTTCTTGTCTTGGAAGGGGCTCCTGTTTTGGACAACCAACCAGTCACAACGCTGCAGGACTAGGCAACCCTCTAACACTGAAGAATTGGGCATGGCGACGTAGCTTCGGTATTGAAGACTGGTAGAAGCCACGAGCCCGACTGCAGAACAAATTGCCCAAAGCTGCTGTTGTGTTTGTGTGTCCTTCTCTATATGTGTGTCTGCTGGTTGACCTATTGGCTTTCTATCTGACTGCCTGCTGATTCATCCATGCATCTTTTTGTGCATTCATTTATCTACTATCCGCCTGTCCATCTGCGCACCTGCATCCAACTGTCCGTCCATTTATGGCCCTACCTGCCTACGTATTCGTCTAATATGTATTCTAACCTATTCTAATCTAAGTTCCCTGCAGGATCCAGTTAGGCTGGGTACCAAGTAGCCCGAAAGAGGGGGCGCCTAAAGGGACGAACCAGTTCCGCCCCAGCTGGTTTCGACAGGTCAGTTCAGGCAGCACGTGCAGGCTCAGCTCTCATGAAGGCCAGCGTTTTGCGAGTCTATGGGTTTCGTGGCAGGCGCAGCAATTTTGAGCACGACTCGCAGCAGCAAAGATAAATGAACAAACAGACTGGTAGATAAAGAGGTAGAAGAGATAGGCAGATAGATAGATAAGATTAGATTAGATTAGATTATATTAGATACATAGATAGATAGATAGATAGATAGATCGACAGATAGATAAATGGATAGATGGATGGATGGATAGATCGATTAAATTAGATCAGATTAGATTAGATTACATTAGATTAAATTGACGAGAAAGAAAGGAAGAGAGACTTGTGGATTCTTAGGTACATAAAAGCTGTGAACACATTAGGTAGAACGTAAAACAGACAGAACAAATATATGCATGGACAGAACCAGGGAGAGATAGATAGATAGAGAGAAAACAGTAGATGCGAGATGGGTCGACAGATTAGGACTGGGAAAGAATTGTAACGCAGATTAGATTCGACTAGGTCACATACGATTCGGTTAGATTAGATCTCATGAGATGGACCGCCAACGCGTGGCAAAAAAGGGGGCCCGCTAAAATGTCATTTACACCAACCCCGTCAAACAAAAAACAAAACCCAAAAACAAAACACTCGGTCCGGCCTTTTGCACCTTGGCGCCGGGTCGGTTCAGCAGCGCCTCGATCTCAGAGTTCACCACGTCCCCCCGGTCGACGCCTGAGATGTGGCAGCGGACATGAATCAGCCCAATGGCTATGGGAGATAGCAGCAAAACTTTGTTTTATGTTGATTGTAAAGGGGGGTCCTTCCAGAAGGAAAAAGGGGCCTGCTGGGCAACTGAGACTGGTCCAAGGCAAACCCAGATCTCTTCTTTGCCACAAAAACAATCCCCTCCCTGCGGTAGTGGTTGTCCCTTGCCTTGGTGAAAGGATGAACTCTCTGGGTGACATGTTGGGAGCAAGGGACAACATGACTAACCAAGGATTCCGCTTGGTGAACCTGCAACGGGAAATTCGGAGCTTCATTAACCAGCTCGACCATTAAAAAACACGCGACCCCAAACAACCTGGGGTGTGCCGAACATATCCTTTTGAGGGAGACCCCGGCCACCTTGCGTGAGACTGTCTGGTTCATGGGTGCCCCTTGGCCCCCTGCCACCCTCCGACTTGCGCCGCTCCCGGGGCTCCTGCCACCGACCCCCCGCCCAGGAAGAAATCACGACTGAAGGAGATTCTGGACATGACAACCTGCCGTAGCAGCCGTAGCATAGGCTGCCGGTTGGCGGTTCATTGCATCATCAGGTTCGCAAAGCTGATTCATCCGAGGTCAGAACTGTCATTGGAAGTGCCATCACGTACGGGAAGCGCGCAAGCACGCAAGCATGCAGGCAAGCAAGCAAGCAAGCAAGCAAACAGACAAACAAACAACAAAGAAAGAAAGAAAGAAAGAAAGAAAGAAAGAAAGAAAGAAAGAAAGAAAGAAAGAAACAAACAAAACAACAAAACAAACAAACACACAAACAAACAAACAATCAAACAAATTAACTAACAAACACAACACACGAACACAACAACATACACACAAACAACCAACCAACCAAACAAACAACACACACAAACAAGCAAAAAACAACAACAACAAGCAAACAAACAAGCAAACAAACAAGCAAACACCCAAACAACGAAACAAAACAAAACAAAACACACCAAGCAAGCAAGCAAGCAAGCAAGCAAGCAAGCAAGCAAGCAAGCAAGCAAGCAAGCAAGCAAGCAAGCAAGCAAGCAAGCAAGCAAGCAAGCAAGCAAGCAAGCAAGCAAGCAAGCAAGCAAGCAAGCAAGCAAGCAAGCAAGCAAGCAAGCAAGCAAGCAAGCAAGCAAGCAAGCAAGCAAGCAAGCAAGCAGCAAGCAAGCAAGCAAGCAAGCAAGCAAGCAAGCAAGCAAGCAAGCAAGCAAGCAAGCAAGCAAGCAAGCAAGCAAGCAAGCAAGCAAGCAAGCAAGCAAGCAAGCAAGCAAGCAAGCAAGCAAGCAAGCAAGCAAGCAAGCAAGCAAGCAAGCAAGCAAGCAAGCAAGCAAGCAAGCAAGCAAGCAAGCAAGCAAGCAAGCAAGCAAGCAAACAATCACACAAAACAAGCACGTCAGCAGCTTAACACACGCACACATAAGATGAACCAGCACCACAAGGTCCATGAGCTGGGTTGCCTTTCTGCTTGTAAAACGGGCACTTTTTTGAACATAGACAGGCAGGCTGTCTAACCTGATGTCCAATCGAGGGAAGGCTCGTTTCGACACGCCTCCGCAACCATGGCGTAAAGTCAGCAAGTTGGCATTGCCTGCTATTACCAGGGGCGCCAGCAATGATTCGAGCAAGTCCTCATAAAAAGAAGCCTTTTACGCTGCAATGAAAGTAGATGGCACGGCACCCATTCTGTCGAACGCACCAGCCACGTGCGCCCAACCTGCAAGAACTTCCCACATGCCCGTGACAGCGAAGCGAGAAGACACTGCCCCTGACAGCTGTCCTTTCTTTTCTTTGGCTTCTTGGCTTCCTCGTTGGATGGCACGGGTAGCAAATGAAACAGGACGTTCTGGCGAGGTTGGACACAGCAGGTGCCATGGAACCAAACTTCCTTCAAATGGACCTATGGACCCCCTGGGAAAAGCTCGGGGAGAGAAACGCTCAAACATGCGAAGGACATGTGCTAGGAAAAGCAAATGTATGACGAGAAGTGCAAAAAGAAGCATGCAGGTCTTTGGAATGTGGCCCTTAAGCCCGAAATCAGGCGCATATTTGGGACCTCTACCCTTGAGGGTCCGAACTTCTTGGCGTGTTCGCGGCTCCTCAAACCGTTGAAAGGACATACAAGTGCCGATTGGTCACCAAAATCCCTTGTTGGGTTTGCTGAGTGTACTTACTCAGCCTTAAAATGGAACATGTGTCAAAAAGGTCACAGGAGTCTTCAGGCAAACGCAAAGCATTATTCAATTGCTCAAGGGGCCTGAGCTAGGCGGCTGGGGCCGTGAAGAAAGACCAAGCCATTCCAGATGTATGTGTTGCTCTTTGGCTCTTCAATCTATGTGTGGCTTTTCAAAATGCAGCAAAGTGCTCAGAAACCCCGTGGCCACGGGAAGAACAGGGCCTTCTGCTTTGGTACTTCATTTTGAAGTGGACCGCCGCCCCTCCGAAAATGAAAAGGAAACCGCATCCGATTCCACTATGCAAAGCGATTTGCTTTTGCTGCTCAGAAACAAGTCTGCTCGCAACAAGATTCCTGTCAAAATGTGAACAGGGTCATTGGATGTCCCGTCCTCATTTACCGGTGGGTGGGTTCCAATGAGCCTGTCACTTGTGAAGGTGGACCGCCCCTTTTTGGCAAGAGCTTCGCTGAGTGCCTCGCTCTCGCGTCACTTGGCCTCGGAAGTTGAGCCCAAGATCGCAGTCAAAGTAATGCCCTGAACTGAAACGAAGCTCCAAGCAAGAAAATGCCCCTGATTAGTATGTCCGCAGCATGAATCCGAAGCCGACGCCAACGCGGATGACTGTATTTGGTATGTCTGTATGAAAGTTGCAGCGGACAAGTCCTGAAAACACATCCTTGCCGGACACTAGCTCGGATGTCGAACTCAAAGCTTTTATCAGAACCAGTGACAACTTGACATCTGCAACATCCAAACCAAAGCTCTCGCTTGGCCACCCAGCCAAGAAGGAACCGAAGGCATTGCCATTGGCATTGGCGGCGGCGGTGGCACCACGATGCCCTGCAGCAGCCACTTCTTTGCTCACAAAAACCAAAAACAATTGACGGAAACCAGGCATCCTCAATTCCCCATGGCGCTTTGATTAAAAATGGCCCATGCCGCACATGAGAGATTGTAACCCGGTCAGGGAGACTCCAGGTTTTGGGACGATCCACACGAAAACCAGCAATCCCTTCCCCCGAATGCGTAAACATGATGATTCGCCCAGGCCCCCCCGCCGCTCCCTACACCCAATACAAAACTGGCCAATATGCCAACAAATTGCCCGCCAACCAACTGCAGAAGCCCAGGGTCAGCAAAGACCTGGCTTGACCTCAAAGACAAGGATCGAAGTGGACACCCGTGGCGGACCCTGGAAGCCTTCCAAGTTTGAAGACACACAACCAACATGGCTGAACAACTCCGTTTCAATGCATGCAGCTGCTCAGCTCAATCCGAGTTTTCGATGGTTTCTGTGTCTGGCAAAGGGGGGCCCCCATTCCGACAAGAACCGAAGTGAGAAAGGCACTGGTAACCCGGAACCCTGCTCTAGAAATGTGAAGTCTTTTCTTTGGGGGAGGGAGGTGTAGTATCCAAATTCGGGCCCTTTTTGGCGTCCCCTTCAAGAGGGGGCTCCATGTTTGACAATTCCCCAAGGTTCCCAAGATTTCTCGGGGGGGGGGGGGGACAGTAAATTCTCATTGGGGGGAAGTTGCCATAGACCGCCTTTTGTGAAGTAACTTGGGGCAGCAACTGGGGGCCATGGGTACTACAATTCGTCATCTCCAACGAAGCTAAAATCCCCTCACAAATGCCCCGCAAACGGTCTCCGGGTTGCAAACCATATTTCAACAAGCCAAAAAGAGCAACTTCATGGTTCGAGGAGTCTTTGGAGGAGCGAGGTGGGAACCCGGCCTGCAGCCCGCGCACCGGCATCATTCGCGGTTCGCCTGGTCTGCCGAGAGGCTCAAGACGGGGTTGGGGGGGGACTCCGAATTCCGCAATTCGTAGCCTCGCCCATCTTGCACCCCATGCATCAGTGGTGGTCACTGCTGAATCTTCAAGTGCTGGCTGTTTGGAGCACATTCACAATCACTGTTGGCCCAAAACGTGATGTTTAAACTACCCAAACAGCGCTACATACGTACATGCATACATATTCATCTGTATATGTAACAATGTAGATGTACCAGGAGCCTCAAAAACCGATGAAAATGTCATACCTATAAAAAAATACGATGTTTTTTTTGGAAAACACGATGTTTTCGGGAAACACAGCATTTTCGATGTCAAGCATTTTCCCATACATTCCTTCAACTCGTCTTCCGTTCTCAAAAGGTCTCAAAAGCATCATCTCAACCTCAGAATCTCCCATTGCCCTCCCCTTTTGCGCTCGTAACGAAATCAGCTTCGCATTCGCCACTCGTCTTTCGCAACTCCTATCTGAAAGAAGGAGGCCGGGGACCCAAATAGTCAAAAGTACCACGGTTTTATGACACTTGTCAAGCAGCAATGCCACGTGCTGGCTTCGAACAGCGCGCAATCTCAAGCAAAGACCGTGCTTTTGCTCACGACTTCGTTGTTTTCCAGCAACGATCTCCAATTAGCGCATTCGTGGTTAAACCCGAAAAACCCATAGAATTTCCACGGTCTGCCACGCTTTACTACGGGTTTTCCACGGTTTAGCTACGGGTTAGAAAACACGATGTTTTCCAAAAACACGATGTTTTCGGTTGGGGCTGCGGGTTTCTACGGGTTTCTACGGGTTTTCTACGGGCTTCTACGGGTTTTCTACGGGTTTTTCCGGTTACTTGGATGAGCCGCGAAATTGATAGAAGATAATACTGGTTATCTGTTTTAATAACACGTTGCTATCTTTTTGTAACCTACATGCAACCTAGTTGCAAATCCTACGAAGTGCTAGCAACTTCTACTAACCAGTGTACAACATAGTAGGGCTTAGCAAAAAAAAAGATATGTGCTAGCAAGTTCTATAGAAGTTAGCAGCAGTTGTACTTGAATGTTAACCGTTTAGCTAAATTTGAAGCCTGGTTTAGCATGTGGTTAGCTAACCACTTAGCAAACTTGCTAAACACTTATAACTCTTTGGATTGCTTGAAATATTGCTCATGCACCACCAGTTTTTTCATGCTTGCTTGTCTCACATCAGCATGCCATCATGACTGACTGCACATGCAATCAACTTGTAGACCTTGCATGCTTGCTCCAACACAATCAAGATTATCGCTTGCATGCTTTGACATTGCAATGATGGCAAGCCACTTGTGCTCTCAAATCCAATCCACTATGTTGTCAATGTCACCAGGATGTGCTTTCTTGAGTGCTCCATGTTGCTCGTGTCGCAGCTGCTTTGCCCAAGCGAATTGTTATCATCGAGTGTGCGCAGGATGTTAACAAGAAATGTGAAAGACAAGGTGGATGCCTTGCTGGCTGATGATGAGATTGGGCCTCTTGCAAAGGTGCAAAAGCTCAGGGCTACTCTTCTTGATGCAGGTGTTGCATACACTACAACATGCCCCTGTACCAATTTCATTGTGCACCCTCAAAACCGGGGCACCACAGGTGTGCAGCCATACAATATGCATCGCAAAGGCGCTGCAATTTTGAGAGCTGGGGCCGATATGTCATTACTCACAAACTCGTTTGCAATGGAGGTGTCTTCACATGCTGCAAAACGGGCTGAGCAAATGTCATTCAACGAGAAGTTGGTGTCAAGTGCAAATGGGCTCATGAGTCCTGTGAGCGGCACAGAGAGATTCATGACTTTGAGTTCTTCTCACACATGCCAATTCATCAAGAGCCTCATTGCTGGTTGCAAGACAAACCAAAAGGAGGTTGGGGATTCCACAGGCCATTTGTCACTTCATATGTGGAGGCATGACAGCCAGCTGCAAACCATGGCCCAACAAGGTTGGGAGTGGGTTGTGCTACCATCTTATTTGGAAGACGCCTACCCTATGCTTGCAGCACTTATCCAAAGCTCTTTGAACCTTGCCAATGAGGTGTTCGAGTGTCAAAGTGAGCTTGAACTTGCTTGCTCTGTTGCGGAGGCTGCCACCTTCAAGATTCAGAACTCTGTTCCTTTCAACTGGGAGGATGTGGCTGTTGCCACTTGCAATGGAGGCCAAATCAAATCATATGCCAAGCACATTGGGAGATTTGTCAAATTGTATTCAGGCTGGGCTTGCATCTTGATTTGCGCCACATGAAAATCATTCAGCATGGCACTGCAATTTGCAAATGGGGTTGGTCTTTACACATGCTTGTCCCTTGTGTCCCTGCAGGAGGTGAAGGAGCACCGCTTATTCACTGGCTGTCAAGCTTCACCAAGGAGTTCGGGGAGTCATTGGCATTGGGCCAGGAATTCATGGTCTCTGTGACAGAGACCCACATCAGCAGTGTCAACTTGTTCCCAATGGTGAGAATTGGCATGATTGCAACAAACTTGACAGCACCACCTAGCAGGGTCATTGATGGGCATGCAAGGCTGGTAACCAAATCTGACATTGAGAAACTCAAAAGCAAGAAAATGAGTGACAAGATCAAC